GAAGTGTAGGAGATGCTGCCGGGACTACGGTTAGCCAAACCAGTAGGGCTGCTGAAGTCCCGGTTCATCTATCCCGATCTTTCCGGACGCCTTTTCACATGTGTGGAGACGGATAAAATAAATGGAACAACACTCTGATTGGACCATTTGATTGACTGGGAAGAGAACTTAAAGAAGCAACAAAAGCCTGAAGGAAACTGCACGTGACCTGTGACGTTACTTTACCTTTTTACCTTTTTAGATGAACCGTCTTTCGGTTGCCAGTTCTGAACCTCTCCGATGTTAATCAAAACTTTCCGACTGTGTGTGCCGTATTTGTCACCGTTTTGTGAACATTTTACATCCATGTGCCGTTTTTCTCCCCCCCCACACACACATACACGCGTGTTGTATGAAGTTTTATCCAGTGATTGAGCTGTTTAACATTGTAATGTTTTAGAACTACAGTATAGATACACTCAGTGGTGCTGCTGACAGAAAGTTCCTCATTTTCTCATTTGTCATCTGTAACATTGGTGTTGGAAAGTCACCTAAAAATGCCAAATTGATGATTTGTGTGTGAAACGTAATTGGTATTCTTCAGGAAATCTAAAAACTTGCTTCCAATAAATGCCTTGTCTCACGTGGAGGTCTGTGTGCTCTCAGTCCCAATGTTTATGTCCAACTGTGTCTCAAAATACTCGATGAGAAAATAACTTTTAAACACTGAAGACTTTAAATCAGTTAAAGATTCAATTCTGATTAATCCAACAATAAATTTTTCAATTATCCCTTGTTGTATTGACCCGTACATTTTGGGAAATATACTTATTCACTTTCTTGCCAAGAGTTAGCTGCGAAGATTGATGTTGGACAGTTAAAAAAAACATGTTAATTACTGAGCTTTAGAGCTGGTAGGAGGGACAGGCTAGCTGTTTCCCCCTGTTTCCAGTCTTTATGCTAAGCTAAGCTAACCGGCTGCTGGCTGTAGATTCATATCTATTATACAGACATGAGAGTGGTAACGATCGTCTCATCCAACTCTGCAAATAAACTAATACCTCTCAAAAACTTCCTTTAAAAATGGAGCATCTAATTCCTCTGAAAATAAGCTGTTACGGGTTTATTCTCCCACAGAAAGGTGTTTCAAAGACTCCTCGACGCAGCCAGGAATCATATTCAGGTGGAGAAACACTGAATGCTTTAAAAGCCTTATGGTAGTGTAGTCAAATTTAAACTAAAAATACTGGAATCAGCCTTAAAAATACAGTATTTTAAATGTAGAATGTAACTTCCCCCAAAGAAAAAGGCTCGCTGTTTCCAGTCTTTATGCTAAGCTAAGTAACAATTGGCTTCATCTTCACCAGCGTACCAGTTACCCTGAATAATCCACCAACCTCTCTCTAGACAGCTTTCATTGGACACATACTACTGTATAAAGACTACAAAAACACACTTTCCTGTATTTTTATTGATACTGACTGCGTCTTGTGCAAAGTTACATTTTAAAGATCTGCAACTGTTGATTCACACAATCCACCAAAACATTTGAAAAAAAGTTACAAAAATAATCTAGAGGTCTATAATGTTGAAAAAGTATTGCAAGAAAGCTGAAAACATCCTTGCATACGTATAAAAAAGCGCACGAAGCAGATTTTTGGTGTAGTTTTAAAACATGAATACATATAGTAGTGATTGTCACTAATGGTAACAAAAGGTGTAAATAAGTGGCGTAAAAAAACACTTACAGCTTGTTCAGATGGAATAAATGCATCTTAAAATATGTTGTGGGTTCATTTTAAATCTCATGCAAATTATACATGAGGATCTTAAAAGCGTCAGAGAGCGTAACACTGTAACAGAAAGTCTCTCGACAGGCTCACAGGACCCCGGAGCCGTTTTTGCACACGGCGTCAAAGCGGCTGAGACGAAACTCGATGGCGAAAGTGCCGAGGAAGACGAGGAAGAACATGACGAGCGCCCACTGGCACTGAGCTGCTTGCATGTGGAGGCCCACAGCCATCAGGGAGAAGTCTGCGTCAGGGTCCGTTAAGGGTGAAAAGGACTATAGGACATTAAAACAGTGCGTCTAGTTTAATGTGTGAAATTAATCTGTAGTTATTTTTGATAATCAGGTACAGATTTTGTAGTATTTTATTGGATAAATAGTTCTGTAGTTTCATTGTAGAATCGTTTAAGTTATCTATATGAAATTTAAAACATTAAACAACTATTCTCTTGTTGGTGATTGCTGGAAAGACTAACAAAGACGGTTTTGATGAGTTTTTTTGTGGCCAGTTTGATTGATTTGATTAGATTTGATGTTACAATGATATGCGAGGTAAAATTACTGTTTTTGTCAATGAAGTCTGGTTAAACTTTCTTTCCTTAAAGTTGTCAGACACTTAGAATAACAATCTAAGCCTGAGAAAACAATGAAAGTAATAATTAGTTGCAGCCCTTTTATTATTTAAAGATGTAACATTTCCATATTTAAATGTCTTAAAACAATTTAGACATATTATTAATTTGTTGAGTTATGTACTTAGATTATCCCAAATGTTCAAACCCAAAGAAATCCTATTTTCATGAATAAAACTTTAATGTGTTTACTGTTACCACGTCTGTGACCATGATTTCTGCCTGAGTAACATCAGATAGTTTAATTAATTATCTGCTTCTTTTGTTATTGTTTTAATGGGAGAGACTGCCAAGCGGCATAAAAGACATAAAGGCATAAAGATAACGTGTAGTATTTGATCTCTATGGTGCAGTTTTCTACACACACAATACCTAACACTGAATGTAGGAACCATGAATGAATAATTCATAATTTTTGTGTATTTTAATATCAGGTTTATATTTCTTGGTATTTGTTATTAGTTGTTTTTTCTGATATATTTATATATATTTTTTAATATTTTGTTTTTTTTTTGTGTGATTGTGATTACAGAAATGTGGATCACATTAATAAAGGCAGTGACACACTCATATAGAGCTGTGTTTTTACAATTTTCAGTGTAATCGCTTTGATTACTTTAAGTTTATGCACACATTATTGTTAACGTTTTCTTCAATAAAAGTTATTAAATGCATTTGTTGGATCTCAGAAAATCTTTTTTGTCCAAAAGTCATTAACTTTTAAATATGTTCAACACTGTTAAACTGTGTTAAAGGATACAGAGGATCATGCAGCCGGAGACGGATGCAGACAACAGGAAACGAATGATAGCAGCCTTCCTCCCCTCGTTGTTCATGTCCACTTTCAGGGTGATATAGGACTGCACCCAGCAGAACAGCGTTCCCAGTCCAAATGTCATGAAGGTGCCTAAATTGTGTATAATCTCATCGGCAAACAGCTGAAAAAACCCCAAACCAGTCAGTTAACTCGCTCTGATCCTGTCCACATACACACGTGTTTGACTGTTTATATCAGTCAGCGTTTACCTGGAAGTTTCCTACGAGCGTCATTCCAAAGCAGCCGATAGAGAAAACCACCAGACTCCCGACGTTCAGCCACGGTCTCTTTATTATTGGTTTGAGCTGAAGGTATCTGAGGACGGCGATAATGAACCCTGAAACACAGAAGAACCAACAGAAAATGAACACGAATAGATGCTTGTGCGTCAAAGGATTAATCTGGTGATGTTCTATCATTTAAAAATAATCAATGAATCTCATGAATTGACCAAAATCAACAAGTACTGTGTTTGTGAGAAGATTCGAGGAGAGAGATAGTCAACGCAGTAACAGAATGTGGATCCATATC